TATGGTATTTATACTTAATAAAGATGTGTGTTTGAATTTTTATCATATTCTCCGAAACTTTATTGCCGAACGTAGTCTTCCTAATTTATAACAAAAAAATCTAATAAAAAAAGTCTGTCAAATGCATCGAAAACACTCGATAAATATTAAAGATCCTTAAGGACGTTGTCATATGTCAAAACGATGACAAAAGCATGAATATTTCATAAACTGTTCTACTATTTCTTTTGAATATCTGTGCAAAACCTAAGCAAAATTCTTTTAACGGTTTGGAAATTATTTAAGTTTAAGTTACTATTGATTCTTATGGAAAATCACGTATTGTAATACTTATTGACAAATTTGACAGAAACTTTCTCGATTCGACACTTAATATGTCTAACTGAAATTATGAATCGCATGATTAAAATGCAGAGAATGCCGACTACCTTCGATCGCTCCCACCTGTGTGATGCGATTTCTTTCACTGCTAATCGATTCCAATAAGAAAAATACAATTCGACCTATCTTCGAATTTCCGCCATCAAGATCGATCAACAGGAAAACGAATCTTTACTTGCTCTTGACTTCGCTCAAGGATCAAAATCTGTCAAAGAAGACACCGCGAAATGGTAACGTCTCGCGTCTCTGTCCCCTACTCCTCGCGCTAAAGGAGAGCGAGCTGAAGTCGTTCTGAACCGGGTCAGGGTTCTCTTCTAACACGGCTTACTTTTTCTAGAGTTAGACTTGCCCCCAATCCAAAATGCTCCGTAGCTCGTGCCAAAGGTAAAGGTGAATTTTATATCGTTCACTTTTGACGGTCGATCATCTCGAATGCATCGTGTGAAGAGTGAAAGAAAATCGTGCAAACAATGTTCTAGCAAAAAGCATGATCATCCATGCTTGAACGATAAAAGAAGTACAGTTGTTCTCTACTTTCGCCCAAATTGGATGATCGTGCGAGATGAATCATGTTATATCCTGAGTGCTGGTGAGAGTGTTCGAAAGAAGGTTTCGTTTTATGTATATGGGCATAGATATTAAATGTATATTTATACATTATTTTCGCCCAAATTGGATGATCGTGCGAGATGAATCATGTTATATCCTGAGTGCTGGTGAGAGTGTTCGAAAGAAGGTTTTATTTATATGGGCATAGATATTAAATGTATATGTATACATTAAACGAGACAAATTAAGAGTGAAAACATAGAGGTATAGTATAGATAATTATAATTTCCGAGTGCAAAAAATATCTTATATAAAAAATTTTTCATGTTTATTACATAATCAAAAGTTAATATTTTTTCAATTTATTTATTTCATTTATTTGACTAGATTATTTCATTTTTTATACCACGGGACTCGTCATCAATATAAAGATATTGAACAATCCATATAATAACATATCTAAAAAAAAATGCTAATTTTATCTGACGGTATTCAGTTTTTCCGAAGAATTCATCTGGAATGACCAAACTCGGCATAGGAAAAAAAAAAAAAAAATCTAATTTGTGGAAAAATCGACTATCCTGTGTCTCTTCGGCGATTATCGACTCGCTTCTATTCGTAACGGCGAAACACGCGGCTATTGCCGCCTGTCTTTCTTTATTCACGCGCCGACCGGAAGCGCTCGTTGCTCATCGGCCGCGACCTCAAATGCGTCGCCTTCGCTCTGACGGCGACGACCCGCGCATGTGGGTCGCGCTTAGCCCACTTCGCGACAGTCCCGACAACCGCATCGAAATGGTCCCACGTGGAAAATTCCAAGTCGCAACGCGCGATCGCGCGGCAGACAATACGGAGCGCCTTCGAAGATCCTCGCAGCCGCGTCTCTTATCTCTTATCGAGTCCAAGATTTCGAATCGGATCACATCTAACAATAAGATGTCCCGTCATCAGTGATACGGCGAATTATTCATAGGATGCGCAACATGAGCACGCATAAATGATTCTAGATTCAAATGTCCCTTTCAAAATAAATAATATATAATATTAGCTAATTATTATATTCGTAATAATTAATTTTCAAAGCAAAATAAAAACGCGGATCGTAAGAACAACAGATTTACAGCATTAATATAATAGAGCAATAGCAGCAAGTTTCTATATTGTTCTAGCATTGCTAGAATTTATTTTAAATTACATTGTTATTTAAAATACCTTGATCCGCCACAAACAAATTTTTTGATTAATCTAGATTAATCTTTGTTAATTTGTACTTAAAGAAATATGGAGAAAAAAGGAGCTGTTTATTATATAATTGTTTGACATTTAAAATCAAATATATATCGCGAACTTTTATTAAATCAAAAAGATGATTTGATGTTCCGTCATCACTGATACGGCAAATTATTCATAGGATGCGCAACATGAGCACGCATAAAAGATTTTAAATTCAACTGTTCCCTCCGAATTAAATAATATATAATATTAGCTAATTATTATATTTGTAATAATTAATTTTCAAAGCAAAATAAAAACGCGGATCGTAAGAACAACAGATTTACAGCATTAATATAATAGAGCAATAGCAGCAAGTTTCTACATTGTTCTATCATTGTTTGAATTTATTTTAAATTAGATTATCATTTAAAATACCTTGATCCGCCACAAACTTTTTCATTAATCTAGAGTTAATTTAGACTTAAAAAAATATCTACGAAAAACAAAGCTGTTTATTATATAATTGTTTGGCATTTTAAGTCAAATATATATCGCAAACTATTTAAATCTCGAAGTTTTTATTAAATCAAAAGGAAGATTTGCACGAAGAATGTCTCGTATGTTACGTGAGAACGCATTGTGAAGACTCGCTGTTGGAAATATATTACTTAAGGATCTTCCCGACGGAAATATTATAGGCTGTGCGGAACTTCCTTGTATGGAGAAGAATAACTGCGAAATCGCTTCCGTGCAGTCCGTAAAGGAAATTAAGTCCCTGTCTTAGAGAAAGAAGTTCCGAGACTTTTAATTGCCAGACGCACGGAGAAAAGGTAAAGTGCATTAATTAATGCTGCGGTCATTAATTACGTAGCACACGCGTCATAGCTAACGTATATTGCACACAATACGGTCAGAACAACTAAAAATATCATATATATATATATATATATATATATGTTCTTTTTAAGAATCGACGGTTTCTGGCTGTTAAAATTCGCGCCGAGTCTATGAAAAATGCAATAATTTATATTTCTTAAGTCGATACAGGTCACAATATAAATTCATATTTTCTGTGTGCGATTTCAAAACACAAACTGATATTAAGAAACTTCTTTGGTTAAAGTGCTGAGAATAAAAAATAATGCGAGGCAAAAATTATATTTTGTAAAAAAAAACAAACTACAACTCTTTATCAATAATTTTATACTATATATGTTATTATTAATATTTAACTATATTTATAAAAAATATTCTTATGTTTTGTTTTATTTTAGGTGAGATCTATGATTCGCGATATATTTCAAGACAAAATTCTATTTATAATTTCGTATGGTATAATACAGAAAATATTTGTAAAGAGTAAAATATACACAAAGTACATATCAGGATATACACAGAGATTATGATATGACACATAAAATTATAAACGGAATTCTAATCGTCACGAAGCTAGTTTTACTTATTGTTAGTTTCTGTTCTCAGCATTTTAATTGTTATGCATGATAATGTATGTTTGTACGCGATAATGATATGAAGAGTTGGTTTGCGGAATCACGAATTGTCGGAGCACGTTTTTTTTTTTTTTTTTTCAAAATGAGCGACTGCTAACTTCCTTGTCAAGACGGCGCAACGGCAGGTAAATATATTTGCTTACTGTGTATTTACACGATCCTCCAACGAGTTCCACGGTTGAACAGAGAATAGTAAAGCCACGCTGTAATTCGAGTATTCTCGGAGTCGAGTCAGACGAGTGAAGGCAACGAGCTGCCAATTTCTCGAACGCGCAAATTAGGACCGCACAGTCCCGCGGTCTGTGTCTTAAAGAAACCGCGCCGAGACGTGATTCCGCGCGAGATTGTCCCGCAATCCTATCTACGAATCGCGCAATCGAGCTGCTTCGAACGGTGGAAACTCCGTGACGAGATATCGCCTTGCTACGTAATCATCGAAGTCGTTGCCAATTTCCAATTGCCAATTCGCGGAAACAAAAATATTTTTAGTATCAGCGTAAGTAGACTCGTGCTTTAAGGATGTATCTGTCAAAACATTGACAAATGCATGAAAATTTCGTAGACTGTTCTACTATTTCTTTTGAGTATCTATGCAAAACCTGAGCACAATTCTCTTAACGGTTTGGAAATTATTTAAGTTTAAAGCTAGTATTCATTCTTATAGAAAGTCGCCTATTGTAGCACTTATTGACAAAATTGACAAGGGAAAAATATTGCCAACAAAATAAAAATTTTCACGTATATTAAGAAAACTCTAATAAATATTTGTGCAAAATTTGATTTAGATTTAGATCCACTTATTCATTTAAAAGTTATTTACCAAAAATTGTAGAAAAATATTATCTCTCTCTCTCTCTCTCTCTCTCTCTGCAAATTATTCGTTTTTTTTGTTTCTTGCAGTTGATTTTAGGAGGCATTCATGATCAAAAGTTTTTGTCATAAATTTAAAAAAATATTAATTACAACTATTTTCTTTTACGACATTAAAAACTATATTATTTTGTGATAGTTTAATTCTTTTTACAATCCGGATTTATTTATTTGATTTTTCAAACAATATAAACGTAAGAAATGTTTTTTTTTAATTTTAACGTTTTTTTGCTACTATTGTATAGCCAAGACATCCTTAAATCATGCTCTCCTCTCCTTAAAAATCTTCACAAAATTTACATATAAAGTCGATAATTTCCGTCGTATAAAGATAAAGCGATTGTTGCGCAATTGAGAGACAAAATAAAATAATTTTATGATATAAAATGTATACCGCGAAAATTATGCGTAGAGCTCTTTTAAATAAAAAGATCCTTATTGTGTCTTATTTACAAAAATATTTTTTGTACTTACCATCTTCAAAGTCTCTTCAGGCCTTAACAGGTAAAACATGGACTGTAGGTGCTGCTGGATATCGCATCCTGCCGCTGAGACTCGCCTCGAAGGACGAGCCCTTTCGTTCGGCGGTAAAACCAGAGCAGCGCCTTTTCCCGCGAAGTAACATTCGCTCAGACTGTAAATATAACAAAAAATAATATTTTAATAATCAAATTATTTTGGTGATTCAACCGCAATCAAAGTCATATGCAATAATTATAACTGATGTAAAACTACATTTATCTTGTAATTTAAAAATTATAATCGAGACGCATATTGTATATTTCGAATATAATTGTTCGCTTATATATCAATAATTCGACTTTTATTAACTCTGTCATCGAGAAAAAAATATACATTGATAAATCCAAATAATATTCGACGTTATCGATGTGCAGAAAGCGTCAGATACAAACATACATAACATAACGATATTAAAATATTAAAATATTTCTGTTAATGAATTTATTGTTAAACCAGTTTTTTTAAGCATCTGTAGAGCGTATCATAATTGAAACTTTTTTCTAACTTATTATAAATCAGACTATAGTATTTAATCCCAATAAATTTAACAAGATTTAAAATATATTTAGTAGTTTCAAAAATCTCTCTATATAGTACTAATTTTCAATCCGTGTAAGTAAATCTTAATATTTTTGAGTGAATCATCGCGCTTTATCTTGATGCGATAAGAATACACACACACACGCATGCATGCACACGCACACACACAGCGTCCCTTTATCTAAAGTTGGTGAGAAATACTAAAGTTCAGCTTAAAAAACAAAAACAGATACGCGTCGGTTAGACAAGGAGTAAACGAGAATTTTGATGCAGTTTGATACTTCTAGACAGCTGTCGATTTTAATCTTTGACATCAAGATAATAAACGCTAATCGATTTACTCGTGTGCTCAGCTGGTTTCACGGCCGTTGCAATCAACAACTCGCGATGGACTATCTAGTTCATTAATTAACGCTGCTACCAATACAATAGTATGATCGACGAAATTATGATCGACAAATGTATTATCGAAACATTCACTCGAACTGAAATGAAGCATAAAATATTGACGACTACAATCTTTTTTATTTTTAATTGTCTCACGATCAAAAACAGTTCGTGCTTCGAAACACATTTCGAGTTAAATTACTGCCTCATTAAATCAATAAACGCATCGTTAAAGATAAGATATATTTTAAAAGCGTCTTGAATACAGCACAGTAAAGTCAATTTGATCTTTTCTGTGTCATATCTGTGATTATTAACATTGACCAACATTGTCGTCAATTAACTCATCTTAATTGCGGTGTGCTTATTTATAATACAATTAAATATAATTATTTACGTGAATCGTCTGCGGAAAAATGCATTTGCGGCGCGATTCACGCTTCACCTACCTACATCAACATGTTCCCATTATATTTTATTCCGCGCTTCATCATTATCGTCGAGCAATTGCCCTTTTGATGGCTTCGTGTAATCAAACGAGGCTTTTCTTTTTACGCACGCACGTATAGTTTCAACCACGATGACCGCGCGTCTAAATCACGTATGCGAGTCGCGATTATGCCGGCGATGCCATTTTCTCATGGTAAGTAAACCGTCACATTCTCATATGACAATGACCAGCTGACCAGACAATGTACGCGCACGCGCGCACACACACATACGTGCAATTTGGAATATACGCGAACTTCCGCTATCGCACGTCTACAGTAAAAAGTTTCTTCGCTGAAACTTTACCACGGAATGAGAATACACACAAACGTATTTACATCGTTCATATGGTAGATATTTACTATACAACATGTGAATAATTCTCTTCATTGTCGCACGTAACGTGTTACATTAGAATGTTTACATTTTGTAACAGATCCTATTAACTTTATCACTGCTGATATTAAATAATTACGAGGTATAAAAAATTGTGGGTGGAGTTCCGAATAGGTGAACCCTCCGATTTTTTTGAAACTACACTATTTTTTGTATTTTTGAACGCTGATTATGAATATGATAATGAAAATTTGTGTCAAAAAAATCGGAGGGTTCACCTATTCGGAACTTTATCCAAAATTGTTAATTAAAAATGTCTAATAACACTGTTCAACACCAAGTTTGCCTTAAGTTTTATCAGATCATTTCTGGTAAATTTTTTAGCGCTGATTATGAATCTAGCCGTATCATGTCAAGTTTTTGAGAAAACCTCAGTCAAAGTTGCTAAAATAGGCGTTTTTAATACTTTTGCGTGAGTTATATCTTTCGATGAGGATGTACTCCAGAAAGCAGCGACAGCTCAAAATGAAGCTCAAAACTTATACTTTATGATAGAAATGCCAGAGGTTCCAAGCAGAAAAGGTTTTCCTGAAAAAAAAAGGTTGAAACATAAGAAATATCTAGCGCGGTGTCCCTCAGTCATACGTCTCTTCAATCGTCCGTTGCTAAAATTAAAAAAAAAAAATCATTCTGATCATGAAAGTCGGTATGTATACGGTTGCCTGATCACTCATCACGAATTATGTGCTGAAATTTCAACATTAAAAATGAAGGATTCAAAATGGCGGATCAAATTTTTGAAAAATCATTCAAATCATGGAAGTGGATATGTGTTTTTGTGGTAGCTTTTAAAAAACAAAATTAGAGTAGTTTTCGTCACTAGTATTTTAGTGATGGACAATTGGAGACGTATGACTGGGGGACACTAGAATAAATGATGTTTCTTATGTTTCGACCACTTTTTTCAGGGAAATCTTTCTTGCCTGGGTCTTTTGGCATTTTTATCATAAATAATATAAGTCTTGAGCTACATTTTGAGCTATCGCTGCTTTTTGGAGTATATCCCCATCAATAGATATAACTTACGCAAAAATATCAAAAACGCCTATTTTAGCAACTTTGACTGAAAACTTTGTTCTCAAAAATTTGACGTGATACGCCATTTTTACGGTTAGATTCGTAATCAGCGCTAAAAAATCTACCAAAAATGACTCGATAGAACTTAAGACAAAAAAAGGTCTTATTTTGTCGAACAATGTAATTGAAATTGATTAAGTGATTCATTCAAGTAATATTTATTAATGTTCACTAATCTCTCAATGTTGTACATCAAAATTTTCCAGAAGTTTGCTTTATTTATGAATATTACTTCTTAATTTAAACTAGACTGAAATGAAACAATCAATAAAGTTATCACGATTACGTCTCAGATCAGATCGAAATCGTAAATGTACTACATCGATGATGATCACGACGAAAACGACGATGACGAACGTGCAAATTTAAGCCGGGAAACCAAAGTGAAAATCTATCATCATCAAAATCGATGTATTGATCCTCAATGCCTCTCTGTAATTGCGTTATCGAGAGCCACGACGGTAACTCTCACACGACTGGATTACCTTACCGTGACGCGGCTCAATTACACACACGAGCTTATTAACAAATTAGGCCAAGAAAGCCAATCTCACTCGACATTCTCTTAATATTCACTATAAAGCGATCAAGTTTGGCCTTCTGATCATTAATCAAACTGATATAAGTCTCGCACACTCTATATACAAATTAAATTATCATGTATGGTATACAGAATGTCACATAATTGAAGGCGATCCACAGAAAAAAAAAAAACGTTAAAAAAATAAATATCGGTTATTCTTGTTTTTATTATATTACTAAATAAAAAAAAGTATTATTTTACTAAATAAAAAAATTACTTAAATTTTTCATTTACGTTTTCGTTATATAACTTTTTTAAAGAAATCATATATTTATATTTGTCTTACTATATAAAAAATTTAGTATATTGAATGCTCTGGTCCCTCTTTCCGCAGACGAACATGTAACACAATTCGACCTTCGCAAATCTAATTATAGTCGAGTTGAATTATGCCAGAATTCGAGAGAATTGCTGCTTTCCTGTTCTTTAACATCTCCAAGAAGGAAATCAACCGCGATAAATATGATTTTCCCTACTTTTAGCAATAAACAATTTCAATAAAAGGTCGTGTGACTTTCTAATGATATTATAATGATAATTAAATGGCATATCATTTATTTGATGTTTTTATAATAGTTATCAATTTTATCCCTTTAAAAATTATCACGGGTCTATTCCATTGTCGGTCAATTACTCCGATCGACCTTAATACGAAAGAAGAAGCTTCGAGAGCCAAGTTGGCGATGCACGATCGTCTTGTGCACTCCACACCGCGTTTGTATATATGCATAAGTAAGCGGGCGAGCAATTCGCAGAACATTAAATGCAGCGAGCGTAAGACGCGCGAAGAGACACAGCTGTGTCGTAAACGTAGTTGACAATATATTTTACAACGGCATCTCTGCGTTTTTCTTTCTCTCTTTTTTTTT